CTTACTAGTAGTAACAAGAAGCTACTAGTAACAGGTGCCACGCTACTAGTAACAGGTGCCTTACTAGTAGTAACAAGAAGCTACTAGTAACAGGTGCCACGCTAGTAGTAACAAGTGCCTTACTAGTAGTAACAAGAAGCTATTAGAAACAAGTGCATCGCTAGTAGTAACAGGTGCCTTACTAGTAGTAACAAGAAGCTAGTAGTAACAGGTGCCACGCTAGTAGTAACAGGTGCCTTACTAGTAGTAACAAGGTTCGCTACTAGGTGTGGCAGGTGTGGCAGCGAAGCTGAAGGAGCGGGTGACTCGGCACGGTCATGCTCCAGGTGGAGCTGCGACAAACAAGCACGGTTGGCTGTAGATGTGCAGCTTGGTGCTCAGGTCAGTGAAGACTGAAGAGAAGAAGGCAAGCTGAATTTGAGATCAAGTTTGGGCGAGCAGAAGGTCACCACTTGGGAATCAGTGGAAGTGTTTGCTGCATTGGGTATCGGATATCTTCAGAGAAGCTTCTCTACCAAGTTACCATGGCGTCTAGTTATCGGATGCATGGTTTGGGGTTCACATTCCTAGACGCCATATGATGGGACATGCTGCCTGAAACCGGCGGAAAAGGTGACCGTGATGGTATGAACTAGGAGTTTGCAGGGTCCCAGGCCTTCTACTTGTCAGCTGTTGCAGCCGATGGAAGAAGCGCTTGCCAGCGCCAGCGAGGAAGAAGCGCTCGCGAAGCTTCCATCCCTCCGTTTGTTATTGGAGGAAGTCTCTCAGAGAGAATTTGAGATGATCTTGATATATCTTGACCCTTTTTCCTTCACTTTCCTCACTGATTCCTCATGTCTTCGTGCACTGGATACCAGGCACCCCAGATCTGCGTGCAGCTTGCGCCGGGAGCCCGAAACCGTAGGGCGGCCGCTGGGTTCTGCCAAAAAGGCTTCTGCCAAAGAGGGCTGTGTCCAGTGTTTTGCAGGAGAAGAAGATACGGGGTTGTCTTTGTAGGTTTCAGGTTTGTCTCGCAAGAAGCTATAAACCGCTTCCGAAATGAAAAGGACTGTTTGTTGTTCGTGGTCTTTTGTAGCTTGGTATCAGCTTGGTATTTGGTATCTGGAGGAGAGTCTGAGGGCTCCGATTCCGCACAGCCATGGCCCAAGCAGCCATGGCTTTAGCTGAATCCGTGCGCGAAGAGCTGGAGAGGCAGCGCGCTGGAAAGGTGGAGGTGGGAGCGATAGGATGGATCTTTGGGTCTTTGGGTCGACGACAGGTCCGAGCAGAGCGGATATGAAGTGGTGAAATCAATAGAAAAAAACTCCAAATCCATAGACTTTCTAGGACTTCGTTGTGCTTAACCCCGCTTTGTCTCAAGGAGTTTCGGGTGATTTGATACTAGGAGGCTTACGCTGGTTGATACCCAAAAATGCATTGAATGTGTTGTCTTCACAATGGTTTGGTGTGTTGACATACCCTAGGCCCTAGCCATTTGGTCCCATTGGAGTCTCTAAGTCGGTTTGCTTGGCAGGTTCATGTCAAAGCCATGGGCTCAGCACCGGCACTACGAACGCCGCGGTTCACCATCGCCGGCAGCAGTCGCTTCTCCAAATTGACGACCTATCTCAAGGACCGGCGAAGTAGGCACCGGCGGAGCGTTTCGCGGTTTTGGGGCCCATCCAGGGCCCCTGGTTGTCGTTTTCTCGCGACGCCTTTGGAAGGTTGCGGCCCCGGTGCATTTGAGAGTTTCCCCTTCATAATAGCCTCCGTTTCTTCAGAGGAGTCTTTCCATCAGAAAAAAACATGACAGCGGGAGAGAGGCCTTGCTGGATAGCACAACGCCTTCTCACAGTAGCACTCGTTGCAACCGTTTGGGAAGCTTCCCCACACCTACCCCTTGAGAAGAAGCCTTAAGAAGGGTCAGGTGCACTTCTGCTGCTGCTGCTGCTGCTGCTGCTGCTGGTCCTCCTGCTTCTTCCTCCTCTTCCTCCTCTTCCTCCTCTTCCTCCTCTTCCTCTTCCTCTTCCTCTTCCTTTTCTTCTTCTTCTTCTTCTTCTTCTTCTCCGGGGGAGTTGCCACCAGAGCCTTGTTTGCCTGTTGATTCTATATCTCGCTGCGCTTGCAAGCTTTCTTTGTTCGATCCAATTGTATCCTCCAAACCATGTCCTAGAGTCCTAGAGGCGACAATCTAATCAAGAATACAGGTCGGTCTTTTTCTCCCAAAAGATTAAAAGCCACATCGATAGAAAAAGAATTCTGCATAACGACTTCTACATGGAATTGGCCCACCTCGGTCGCCTCGGTCCGAACTCAAGGACACCTTAAAGCTGGAGACACTCTACGTGTACTGCAACGATGCCTTCGAGCCCTCACCCGATGAGTATTTGGCAGACTTGCGGAATTGCTTTGGAACTGGGAGCAGGTTGAGCATCAGCTATTCGGGTGAACAAGCCTTTAACTGAAGTTCTGGAAAGCAGGAGATGCTTGGAAGGCCGTTGGGGGGGCCTTCCGTGGAGCAATGAGTCTTTCCTGCATTGCAGGGGGCAAGAAGCGCATGATGTCGGGCTGACTGCGGGCACCGGACAGACAGCCACTCGCGGTTGGCCACGCTAAAGGCTGTGGTGAGTGACCCAGATTGCAGTGCGCGCCCAAAAAGTGCTCACTGCGCCAGACGAGGCTGAGAGTGTTGTGCACCCAACCCGCCATATGACCCGGTGTGGCCTATGTACCGGCTCCTGTCCGTTCGGTCCATTCGTCCGGTCGTCTCTCCTCCCCTCCGGATCCGATGGACCAGAAGACGTCTTCAGCCGAGGTCGGTCCTCTTCCACCAGGGACAAACGGTGATGCAGCTCTTCCAATCGCTGGCCGGCAGCCAGGCGGTCGGGTGTAGGCCGACCGATTGCTCTTCAAGAAGGTCAGAATGATGTGAGTCGTGTTTCTGTATCGGTAGCTCGGTGTCCATCATTGGTACCGAGATGTACCGAGGGACCTCATCTGAGATGTCCAAAGATCCCCTGTTTCCAAAGATCTCCGAGATGTCAAGATTGATATTGTCCAACAAGCCGAAAGAAGGGAGGCTGAAACTCCACGCTTTGGAATAGTCTGGATTTCTTCACGACACCATGCGCCAAAGGGGTCATCCAAATGTTTTGGGTTACATTTCCATCGCAGAGGCACAAAGCACGCCACGAATTGCAGGGCCTGGTGCATTGGAATGACTTCCGAGCATTGTTTGTGCAGCTCGAGTGGTGGCCTTAGACTCACCGGAGTCTGCGGAATGCGGTCACTGCGGTCACTTGGTCCACCGAGGTGGTTGAACATCGTTTGGGTGGGTCAATTGCAACAAAGACCTGGTCGTTCCGTTTGACTTGTTGAACCTTGCTGGCTAGAGAACGTGTTTTCTTGTGTGTGTGTGTGTTCTCTGACTCGAACGTTTGAGGTTGACACATGTTTGACACATGTTTAAAGCGGTTCATCCGAAGATGTCAGTCAAGATGTGCATCTCTAGTTTGGTTTTGGGACACGGTGTGATGATAGAACAAAGGATCACAGGGATTTGGCAAGGATTGGGGCTTTAGCACATGCCCCGAGAATGTTGACCTTGCGAACATGCGGGATATATGATGAATGAACACGAGCCATGCCTTCGGACAGCTATATCATCTCCGCAAGTCGTTGCTGCACCAAACCGACGCTGTGCGGATTCTGAGGCCCTCCTTGTCAGCAAGCGAATTGGAATCTTTGTGGAAGGAATTCGACAAGGATCCCTCAAGTGTGACTTCGCTGTCGTGCATGTATATATGGCAGGTAGGTCATATCCATGTTGTGTTGCAAGAGATACCAAGTATCTCTTCATGAATCCGGCAAGGCGGGTCTGCATGACAAAAACTTTTTAACGCCGGGTGGTGCGTCCTGTTTGTGCTTTTCACGTCCAGGACGGTGATGGCAGCATCACCAAGGAAGAGTTCCTCGGACGGTGGATGGCGGTTTGGTCGACGAGTCGGGGGACATCTCGACGAGTCGTGGGTGCTTTTTGTTTCTGGGGGGTGGCCTTCTTTTCATGGGCCGACTGAAGAAAACCTAAAGCATCCACATGGGGCCAAGTCGATCCAAATCAGGTTCTTTCATACGGATGGGTTGGCCCAGCCAGAATCTACAATGAGTCGGGGGGCTGAAGCAAGTTGGAAGTGCATATTCAATGGGGAGGGCGGAGCTGAAGAACTCGATCGTTTTGAGTTTGATGAAACCAAAACTACCTCCTTGTTGCTAGCAAGGTGTATTTGCGGCCAAGACCTCTTAGAAGCGCTGTAAGCCTTGGTTTTTTCCAAGGCTTCAAATCCAAGCATTGCTAAACTGAAGGTTCTTCGCGGCCATGGAGCCAGCTGTGCGCCTGGTGGTGGCCAAGCAGTCTGAGGTCATTGCACGCCTTGCGCCGGGCAGCCTGAGGGGCGAAGGTGTAGCGACGTGTGGGTCATTGATGTTCTTAAAACCTCTTGAAGCAATGGGTGCTTGCTTGTTGACTTGTTTGGGTGGTTTCTGAGTTCTCCCCCTGAACTGTAGGTGACCTTATTTTTGCAGACCCACAGCCACAAAATTAGAGGGTTGTCACACCTACAGGCTTGGGACGCCAATCGCTGTGTCGGGCAAGCGAGGCTGGCGCTGCAGCGACAAGGCCAAAGTGTGGATCAACTCTTCAATGCTTTGGCGACAGAGCAGGCGGCTCGGGACCTCTAACGGGGAAGCGCCCGCTCCTACTGAATTAAGTCGGCGCCGACTGTACTGAAGTAAGGGAGTAATTCGCTACTAGCAATAGGAAGCTCCCAGCTAGGACGCAGGATAGCTCACGATTCCTTGAAGAAGCGCTCGCGCTAGTGATTTGGTTCCTAGATTTTTAGGGAAACTTCATGTCTTGAGCGCCATGAAATCATTTGTGTGGTGGCTCGGACAGCTGAATCTGTGTCATTTGCGACACGCTATGCGGCTGTGATTAGAACCATGCGTCCTGCATGGTGTTCCAATCCAACAGAAGAACCCACAGCACCACCACTCCGTGGGCCGGCAGAGGGACTTCGCCCTTTGCCAGGGCGTCGTCTCCTGGCCGGACTTCCGATCGCTCTTCCAGCAGTGGGAGCCGAGATCTCAGGGTTTTTGTGGGGCTTTTTTGGGGCTCCAAGCAAAGCCCCTGAAGAACGAGTTGCATCAGGATTTGCGAGGCGGGAGCTTTCTATGAAGAACGCACTCAAAAATGCGGATCTTCATGGCTGTTGGCCTCGGTTGGTTCTTCATGGCCAAGGAGTGGATCTCTGAAAGAACTGAAAACACAAAACCTGACCACCGGGGCCTTCTTTGGTTCCTTCTGAGGCCATCTTTGGGAGAAGAGGATCTTCATGGTCTTTGGCGCAGCTTTGACAAGGAAGCTCCCGATGTGGCAATCTATGGTTGGTCGCTTCCAGATCGAAAACTACTTAGTAGTCAAGTACAAGAAGAATGCAGAGCAAGATAACACCTGGAATCAACTTTGAACTGATGGCTCAAAGCATTTGGGTTCAGGGTCACGGTTATACGGCTGTAGACAATCTAATTAATTGAGTGTCAAAGCTTCGAGAAGCACCAAGCAACTTGCCATGTTATGCCATGTTCATGTCCATATGAGGCCCAGCCAGTAGATGTGGTAACACCCACAGGTCACGCCCGCCCACTCTTTGAGGATGGAGACGGCAGCGTCACGAGAGAAGAGTTTGCAGCTGAGTTTGGAGAGGAAGGGAGAAGAGAGTGGAGAAGAGTTATTTTCATTGCTGGAGACCATGACTATTACGTTGGAGGCCACCGCTCTTAGGTTGCAGGCCAGTGCTATTAGGTTGTAGCCTACAAGAGTCTCAGAGCTGCTTGCTGTTGCTACTTTCAGCTAAGCCTCTCCATGACATATTTGTGGACCAGAAACCCAAATGGTTCTGGCAGAGGCGCCTGTGGTTCACCTTCACGAATGGGTGTAGCCATCATGTTGTCAGACAAGTGATCCTCGTGCCACCTACCAATGGCTACCCAATGATATCTTGGACAAAAGTGGCGATTCGAGAGGGATTTCTCACGTTCCCTTGCTTAATCAGAACAACTCACAGTTTGAAGTCCTGCAGTTGCGCTCAGCTGCTGAACATGCAAACGAATTCTCTGTGAGAGATCTGGAAGAACGAAAGAAAAGGCGGACAACGATAGCATCCCAGCCATTTGCCACGTTTACATCCAGACAACGATGGCATGGCCACATGAGCCTACAACTTCCTGCGAAGCACCGAGGTTCGTGAAGGCTTTGGCACCGTCGATGGAAGCTGCCCAGGCTCATACAGACGAGGTGTGCAAGAGGGTGGCGTCTGGAATCCCAAGGGAAATCTGTGGCTTGAAGCTATCAGGAACAATAAGCTACTAGGAACAAGTGCCTTACTACAGGCAACAAGAAGCTATTAGAAACAATAAATAGAATCTAATTAGAATTAAACCTCAAAGGTTCCAACTAATCAGGAACAATAAGCCACTAGGCTTCGGGCGGTGGGAGCGCAGGAAACATGCTCAAGGTGTGATTGATGTTGTTCAGATGTTTATATATATATATATATATGTTCCCTACACTCATCCAATGGCATAAACTTGAGCATTTATTCCTATATTTTTCCCTTCAAGTTCACCATTTGAGGTCGATGCTCTTCCAGAACGGCCGCACCGTGAACCAGCTCTTTGATGCTCTTGCAGCTGGTAAGGACCAGCAACAGGGCCCACCCCAGTTGAGGCACTGTGATATGTTGTTTGATCCTTCTAACATGATGGGGGTCCTGTGCCAAAGCACTATTAATTAAGCTGACCACCATATGTTGATGATGGGGATAAATTCTGAGGTTAGATCTGAGTGGTACAACTTTGCTGCTGACTAAGAGGTTTAAGCGCGTTTGGGCACGGTTGTGGTTCTTGGTCACAGGTCTCACATCATATTCCCAACATTCTGAAGGTGAACCTTTCGCCACTCGACTGAGAACACACCCCAGGAGCAGGTGGCCTTCGATGACTTCCGAAGCCTTTTCCAACAGCTGGAGCACCTTGGCACAGCTCAAGCACACACGTGGGGAGATCATGTCTGCGGTCCATGTCGAATCAACAATGAGCAACCACGGAAAAGAGATCAAAGAACAGAACATGTGTCAATCTTCTTGGTTTTGTTATTGCTATGTCAATACATTGTGAGATACGAGCATTCGCCGGAGCATTGATCCATTTGTGTATGAGGTCGGTTTCAAAAGTTCGCGAGACCCCTCCCAACGTGTTCCACTCCGATGTGCTCAATCCAAACCTTCCCGTGTTCAAGAGCTTGTTTTGTTGCCAAAGGCCATCTTTGAGCTTGCCTGACTTGCAAGCACTCTGGCGATGCTTCGACAAAGCCAGAGCCTCAGCGAACCCATGGTTTGGAGAAGCGACT